GATATAAATATTTAGATTAATTTGATTATCTATATCCATATTTATAGTTTCTCATCTAATGATTATAAATAAAATATACAGACATTCAGTATGGCAGAACATATGGCATGGTATTGTAAGTGTGATAAAATGGTTGTATACCAATACTTAAATCTAACATGCTTCCCTTCATCCATACCATATGTTCTGCAAAAGTTATACCATACTGAATTTCTCCCTACCAATACAATTATTTTGATTATTTATATTTAATAAGATATAATTTGTTAAACCTTTCTGCTGTTCATTTAAACCAAAATTTTACTATTTTAAGTAAATCAACCAAGTCAAAAAAATATTTTACTTCCATATGATAGCTATTAATTGTTAGTTAAAATGACAAATAAAATAAATTGTGATAAAGACAAAACTGGACAAAGCCCACTACTCCTGCTCCAGCAAAAAAAAAATTGACAGATCCTCTTCTTCTGGTTCAGTTTGCACTCAAGAAGGCTCCTATTTAATTACTTGCATTAATTGCAATCAAACATTTACTTATACATTAACAATTTACCATACTAATACTAATCATTGTTTTGGGCAAATCTTTGCTCATAAAGAACATCTTTTACCTGTAATTGTTCATTCAATGAACCAGCTGATTTTTGTCCTATTGATACATCTATGGCAATGATCAATACAAAATCCATCAATTCGTTTTCTTCTGACAATTGTAATACGAAATTCGTTTTTACGAATTTCATATTATAATTAGACATAAATCATACTAATTCTGTATGTTTTCCATAATTTTGTGCGTATCCTGTGTGTTTTTTTATCTCTATGCCGTATACTGCCACGAACTTTAATATTTATATAAATTAAATATTTTCTCTTGGTTGAATCAAGTAGATAAAACGTTACTTATTGTTATTTAATCTTTTCCTTGAATGTCTTCGATATTACAATCAATATTCATGATAATCATGCAATGAATTTGATGTAAATAAATAATTGCATCGCCCGGACTACAGATACTAGGACGAACTAATTCTAAATCAAATCTATGAACTTCAGACAAAAATGCACTAAATCCGGAATGGAATATTCCATTGCTTGGTAAAGATGAAGTATAAATAAAAATTTTATTCTTCATTTATTTTTTTTGATTATTGTTTCAGAATCTGGTCCAAGAATGAATGATGTAAAAGCTGAATTGATTACCATTTGCGCCGATTTTGTTTGAACCTCGAAATTTAGTGCGATATGATCACGACATTATGAATATACTAGCAAAAACCCATTGGTTTGAGGTAGGCCATTGGTTTGACGGGCTGTTGAATAGTAAAATAGTTTTTTTTAGCGGAGCAAATATTTTTTTTAGGGTTAA